GGAACATAACAATTTCATGTAAATATTAAAAAAAAACAAGTTACGTCCACAGAAATATTTGTGTTTATGCTCTAGAAGCAATCGTTGATTGTCGATAAGCATCTAATCCCGATTTAAGTCGTTTTAATATTTCATCAATCCATTTTTCTTTAACAGAAAATATTATACGAAACCATCCTGGTTGTGTACAACCAAGAAAACTTCCTGATACTAAATAAACACCATGTTCAAATATAATTTGAAATAAATGAATTTCTTCTTCAAATGTAACTTCATGTAATAATAAACGACAATCAGCCCATATAAAAAATCCTGCTTTGGCTGGTCGAACATAAATACGATTATCCATATCTTCGATTATTTTTTTAACTTTTTTATATTGTTGAGTTAAACGTAAACGATTTAATTTTATATATGAATCAACCCATTGTTGATCAGATAAAAGTACAGCTGCAATATCTTGAATTATAACTGATGGTATTTGAATAAAATTAACTGCTGCTCCTGATGAACATAATTCCTTTGAACCACCATAAAGAACACCTAAACGAAAACCACTTAATGCAAAATCTTTACTAAATGACCAAATAAAATGTGTACGTTCTGGATCAATTATTGATGTATAATTGAATATTGATTGAAATGGTTTTTCATTTTCAAATATACTTAATGCATAAACTTCATCAAAAATAACATGTAAAGTTTTTTCAGCAGCAAATTCTAAAATAGGTTGAATTGTTTGTTCATCATAAATATCTCCAGTAGGATTATGTGGATTAACAATAATGATTCCACGTGGTCGAAGACCTTTATTTATTGCTTCATAATAACCACGTTTAAAAATTTCAACTGAAAATAAAAATTTTCCACTATCTTGTTCAAGTGAAGGACATCGAAATATAGCACAATTTGCTAAAGCTGCTATATCATGATCAAATGCAGTATAATAAGGTGATGATATGAGAAAAACATCATCTATGTCACCTATAAGATAACCTAATAATGAAATAATACCACTTAAACCACTTGAAATTACCATTCGCTCTGGATCAAGTTGATAATTAAGTTGAAAAAGTTTTTGAAAAAACTTACATGAAGCTTGTCGTAATGATAATTCACCTGTTGAATATGGATAATACATATGATTTCCTTTCCATATTTGAATTGATTGAAGCTTTGAAATTAATTCATTTTCACATAGATAATTTTCTGCAACACCACAATTACATACTCCATTGGGATTTAATTCATCATCATAGGGATTTTGTTGAACAAGTATAAAATTCTTCAATAATGGTGTTATATTTTTACTCTCGTTTTGAGCACGAATGGAAAGTGTATCCATGATCTCAAATAATAAAATAAAAATTTATTTATTTATTTTTTTTTTTTCTAAAAAATAACTTTATCATTTTAATTTAATCTATTTTCGAAAAAGATCGAAATTGAAATTAAAAATTTATATTGTAAACGAGAAAGTTTTTTAAAAAATTTCTTTCAACAAAAAAGAAGACCTTACTTGTAAAAAAAAATGTCTCGAACGAAATAATTACAAGAAAAGAAATTGAATCAATAAAATAAAATAATATGAAATACAATAGAATACAAAAGATTAAAAGCCAATTCAAATGAAACAAAAAGAAGAATACGATTAAAAAGTACGAACATAAGAATGTCTTTGCAAATTGTGCGTAGCATCGAATGTGTTCTCTCGGATAGAAAAATTGTCAGTGAGTGTGTCACATTGATAGAGATATGAATGTGCACTTATCAGTCAGATAACTAATGAAAATAAAAAAAAAGACATTTTTACATCTAAGAGACGCATGTTTTAATGTGTTAAAAAATTGTTTTTTTTTTGGCAGAAAAAGCGAATTGGTGAAGATCAATCTTTTTAAACTTGTCTTTCTTCAAAATTTTTTTTAGCAAATCAACACAAATTCTTTACGTGTAAAAAAAAAGTCGGCTTTTTGTCTCTTACATGTCCACCTGGCTTCTTTGTCTCTTGTGATAGTTATTTTGATGAGGTAAAAAAATGTATAATGCACTTTGTGATGACGTAAGACACTGTTGTACTATTAGAATGAAAAGTATAGTATATTCTCTCACTAGAGTGAAGATGTGCAAGATAAGCTTGTTTTTCGTACTCTCACCGTATCCTATGCATAATTACTCGATACTTTTTCTTATTGGATTTCGAGTATGAACAATAGAAAAAAAATTTTATTCCGAGGTTAATTAGAAAGTTTTTTAAAAACAATAACCTTTTGCTTCATAGAACATATTTGGATTGTTGTGAAGTGCCCTAGAATGATTTGTTTATTTTATTCTCTTTAAAATGAAGTTTTTATGTATTGTATGTGTTTGGATTTGATAATAGATGAATATGAGTTTTAATCAATCAATATAGTTTTAAATCAAATGACTTGATCGATCGTAAAAAGATGCAATCTAAGTTGTTGATGATATGTCTAGAATATGTTTCAACGAATATTTTGACAAACGTCAAACTCTAATTTGTTCATTTGAAAAAGATATATTTAGTTTGTAAATTATTTGAATTGCCAACAATATGTCTACATATTCGTCTTTAATTTCAATTTGTAAAATGATATATTGAAATCAATCATTTACTGGAAAAGATTAATAATATAAACTTTGAAAGAATATATACTTGAATTATATCTAACTTCTAAGATAGAGAAGGTGGCGATCAGGATCAATCTCTTAAAGACACTCATATATAATTTTCTTTAAAGAAAAAAAATGTTTCATTATTCTGATTTCATTGTGACATAAATGAAGTAACCTTATGTCATAAGTGATAAGATATTAAAGATAAAACACATATTCATTGTCTCGTGTACAAAAATTTTCTATTCGAATATGTGATTAATTATATTAAATTAGTCTTATTTATATAAAAATGAAGAGATTATATATCGTGTGTCGCAGAAATGATCTACTAAAAAGATAATGGAATATCTTCACCCTATTTTGACCTAAGTGCGAATGTGAATGTTCTCTTCACCAACATTCACACTCATGCTTTTCTTTGCGCGCACAACTTTCACTTCTGAATGCTCTTTTCATCACTAACTTTTTTCTTCACTACCGCATTACTCTCTCATATGCTTAATCGCTCAGTGTTCTTAGTCGTTATCGATAATTGTTCGCTCTTACTTTTTGTTTTTAAACCAACGTTCTTCACAATAATTTTTATGCTAAGAAATCAGTAGTAGGTAGTCATCAGTGATGTATGAGATGAAAGGTCGAGCAGCACTAAATACCATGAACTCGGCATATTCTCAAATACTGACAAAACAAATCATGTGTTTTCTCAGAGAATCTATTTCTCTTGTAGTAGGAGCATTACTTGCTCGCTGTAACTTTTTTATGAATGAAAATGAGAATATAATCTGTTATTACTCTACAGTTATCTTATTTATGTATTCAAATTTTCATTGAAGAATAGCAAAATGTAGTACAGTGTCAATTTAAAAAATTTAGAAGCTGTTAAAAAGTTTTTGAGCATGTCCATCATAAGCTTGCGATAACTTGCAAATCCAATTGCTTAGTTCTTCTCCTTGTTCATCCCATATTTCTTTTGTAAGTACTGGATCAAGCATACGACAATAGGCATAACGACCAAAAATGATATAATCTACTTGACCCGGATGTGTACCTTGAAAGTATTGATTTGGACGCTCACGTAAGACTTCCACAAGAGGTTGTATATTCATTTTAGCACGTCGTATCAATTCTTGTCTATCGAGTGCAAGCAATTTTTGATATCCTTGTGGACCGAGTCGTAAGTCGGACGTAAAGTAGGCTCGATGTTCTTCACCAATGATCTGTTGATCGAGTTGAGGAAAGAACAAATCGTACCAGACAGCCCATTCGGATTTGGAAGCACCCAGACCTAAATCAATCAGACGAGTGTAGGTTTTGCCTGTGACTACATGTTCAGGTCGAGCATCACGTGATGGCTTGCCATCACCAGTGAAAAGAGACGGAGCATCAGGATAACTATCTTCTAGCCATTCGGCAATACGAAATGAATCGTAGATAAATTGTCCATCGGGTAGTTCAACAGCTGGTACAGTAATGTTAGGCTGACGTGAACGACTGGCAAGCTCACTTCTTAAGTCCAGAAAGTTGATAGGAACCGTCTCGAATTTGACATTTTTGTGCAATAAGCCCATGCGAGTTTTCCACGTAGTCGGCGAATAATATCGAGTGGAAGTGGGTGAAGGAGCGAGGTCGTATAATTTGATGACTTGATTCATTTCTATAGCCAATACCAGTATAAAGCACACGTAGATCAACTAATTTTTATCTTATCTAAATAACACGCACTTCAAAGAATCAAGGCAAACAGGCTCGTGAGAACGATTACAACTTGTTGGCTGTTTGTCATAATTTCATCTAAGTTTATTCGATTTATCTTAACATGAAAATTATCAATTTCTCAATACTTCGAACGAACTCGACAAACTACCGCAAGTACAATTTGATGAGATGGTTTTTACTTTCTCGTCGTTCTCATTAGACATTGTTGTGACGTAATATACTCCAAGCTTACATCATTTGTTTTTGTTTTGAATGTAAACTGAATATTCAAAGAGTACGATTTGATCTATTTCTTTGAACCAATAAAAATAAAATGTTATTCTAGAAGATCAATTATACCACCCATTAGTCCTGTTTGTCATCGCAACGATCCATGTCTTCCGTGTTTATCTCTTAGTAAGACAGTAATAAGCACGTACATCGTCTCATAGTTACTGCACAAGATATTCTTATTTTTGTTTCACGCATTTCTTTCTTGATATTAGTCTCATTTTCTGATTGAAGAGAACATTCATGAATGAGGTGAATAAAATCTGTTCACTGCAAAATTTATCTACTACGATATCTTTATTCAAAGAGCAACATATTTGTATCAATCGAATAAAAAAGTGATAACTATCGCAATCATACGATATCAAAAGAACTTCTGTCTCAGACTAATCGAAACTGAAACAAATGTTTCAAATATTTTACAGACGATAATGGGTACGAGTGATCATATCCATACTGAATTTTGAATTGACATATTCAAGTCCAAAAAAAAAAGAAACAGAAATAAGGTCCATTCGAATAGTACATGCAGGCTTGTTCTATTGAATTTACATGCTTGTCAAGGGTATTTTAATAGGAGAATAACAATAACAAAATACTCAACTATAATTAGAAATCTGGAGTGATGATGTGGCTCTGTAAATGTAACATCTTAGTAGAAAAATAGCGGGATACTTAAAATATACTTTACGAAATTTACGTTTTTCTGTCGTTGATCTCGAAAATGTAAGTTGAATTCATCATATATCACCGAAGCAAACGTTTGAATGAAACTCAACATTGTTTTAATGTCATTCTAATATTTGTTATCTTCATGATATTTCACGCAATCAATTTTGAAAGGTATTCTTTCGCCCTTTCTATATCGAGGGAAAAATAAACATACAAATATTCCTTTTTCGATTTCGAACGATTAATTCTCGCTCGAAATTTGTGCTTGTGGTACAGGTATTGTACCGATTACTCAATTTATATTGATGACTGATTTTGCTGAGTATTGAACAGTGAACTATTTAAGTGTAACATATGTACAAGCTCCAGGAGCATCTTAAAATGAGTTTACAAAATGTTATATTGTCAGATTACAATCTCCTACTCAATTGAAATCAAGCTTGAAAAAGAATCATATAAAGTGTTTGTCTGAAAAAACTGTTGTTTTTTTAATTTTCTGGTATTTCTTTCAAGATCTCGTACGATTCAAAAGCGCGATGTGATGTCTAACATTTGACGAAGAATGATTCGTTGACTTGTTTTTTTCTGCACAACTGTTTGTAACTGAAAGAGACGTCGAAAGATGGTTCTGGAATGATACTACGATAAATAAGAAATTCAATTTTCGATTATCTTGCTTTCTTTGAATGAATTGAACACTTCCATTTAAGCTCTCAAATGTTTATCTTATAGTTTTTTGCAAATCTTGTCAAGTATATTGTCAAGGTTTTTTGATTCATTGCAAAGAATATCACTTAGACGTTGATTACCTTTTTGCACGACTACATGCCACAATGATTCGAACACCGTGAAGCGCTATTCAAGCGTGGCACTGATAACATTTGAAATAAAAGTTTCGTTCTTTGCTTGATTATTAGATTGATTGAGAGATGACTAGAGACTTTCTAATGAAGAGCTCAATATTCTGGCTACTCAAGTTCCAAAGACCATCATTGTTTGTATTCTATGTATTAGAAAAAGAGCTGACATTAAGTGTCATTGAGCTATTGTAGCTTGGACTAAATGAATAGAATGGACTTGTAGGTGAATAACTCGAAGCTTTAAGTAAATAGCCTGAGTGTATATAGCACATCCTATATGGAACATAAGGGATTTAGTCATTTATAGGCATCAATCATCTTTGAAAATATGAATAGGCAATTTGTGTAGTATCGTATCATCATTATTTCCATTCATATTTTTTGTGCCGCCCTAGGCCGTGTATGAGCTCGAGATATTATAATTAAGGAATAAATATATAATTTGATTCTTCATTTTTGAAGCTGTCTCTCTTCATTTCTGATCGTCACATCGTCGAGTTTCACGTCCGCCAAGGCATATTCATTCATGATTTTGTCATGTTCGAGTTCGAGAATGAGTGCTTTAGCAACGATACAAGCAATCATTGAATGATAACTAATTCTCGGCGCTTGATCGACTATGGTCATAGGCAATCAATGGTGATCAAGTTACATTTTTATTATGAAACAGGTATTGCGGTTGAATGGAATCGTATTGTCATTACTAAAAATGGTATAATTATTTGGTCGTTGATATAGACAGGTAGTGATTGTATCGAAGCATTTTTTACACTAATATCAAGATCTCATCTAATACGAGCATTGGTGATAGAGCCTTTTGTAATTGTTTCCCTCCTCACATAAACATAAGCATTGGTATTCGGCAGAATGAAAATAAATCGACAATTGGTGGATTGAGTAAGGTCTTTGACTAGATATCGAATGGACGCACCATAAATGAATATGATTGAGAGTTCTTCGATATAAAAATAGTAGATAAATTCGATCGATATCTTTTCGTTGTTTTGAAATGGTTACATCATTGTTACATCAGTAGTAAACGAACGAATCGTTTGCAACGCGCTCTTTTTTTTTTATAGATATAGATGTATATGATTGATTGTTGAATGTCTTCTTTGTACAACATGCTGACAGAAGGCACGCAATCATATTACATAGAAGTACTACTTTGTTCTCGTGCCTTACTCTAAAAGCAAAGGAACTGTTGTCGAAAAATAAGCTATTGGACACACGAATATGAATAACAAAAGAATTCGACAGTCGATGAACAACAACATACCACAGATGCCAATAAGTTTTATTATAATTTTTTCTTGCTATTCTCTTTCTTTTTAACCTTGATAAGAGATTGTAAAACAAGAAAACCTTCTGACGAAGTCCAAAGTAGTACTTATCTACACTCTTCTGAATCGAGTATATTGGTGAGACAGTCTCTATTATACCAGAATGGTATAAATAATTAGTAAGTGTATCGATCTTGTTCGAGCATCTTTCGAACGAAATATTTGATCATACAGTAAAATACTGTCAGATCGTTGTATCAATAGTGATTAGAGTATGAGTGTAGGTGTAAGTGTAAATATCGGTATGGGTAAAAAGAAAATTTACACCCGTATCTAAACCCACTCTGGGTCCACCTAGTGATGATGGAACTGTTGGAACAAGAATATCAAAATGTGATGTTATTGTATCACATTCATTTGCAGCTTGTAAATGATATAAATTAGTATAATGACGTATTGCTTGAGGTACAAGAAATGTACCATTATTTTCAAATGGAGGACGTATTGCATGATTTTCTTGGGATTTATCCATTCGATTTATTTTTAATTCGGGTTTAGATGAGCCAGTAAATGTGAGTAGAATACGTATTAATGAATTAAGATCAATAATACATAGATTACGATATATTGAATCGAATTCAATTTTTGATATTGGTAAAACAGCTAATTGAATTTCATTACTATCATTATAAAATTTATTTCGAACATCTAATATAGATTGTCTAGCATAATTTTCTTATATTTCGTTTGATAGGAAAAGATGAATAACCTTTAAGTCTGATTGCTATTGTCTGTAATAGAGACGAGCTATGGAGGAGCCGTAAACCTTCGACTTTAGAATTACACTCACTATTGTGTTCGAATATATATATGAGTTCTACAAAAAGAAAACAAATAAAAAAATAATGTCAAATTAATATGACATTCAATTGTTGAGAAAACTATAAACAAGCAAAAATAATACAAATATTTTCTTATCATATATTGTATAGCATGATGAAAATGAAAAAACTGTAAGAAAGAGTTTCTTTTCGTAGCCTGAAAGAAGTCCTATTTCTCTGTTACTCCTTCATCCGTGACCATTCTTTTTTTATTGATTTCTGATCGTTTTATTCTGTATACGCTTATTGTATATGGAATTTGCTTCGTGTCTTTATATATTTATGTTTCTTTTTTTTTTGTTTACACAATTCTAATAAAACTCAATAATTCAAACTTGAAATCTGATGATTGTATACAAAGTGAAAATGTTTGAGTAAGTTTGTCATTTTGATTTCAACACATTTTAATGTCCATTTTAGCTTACATCGAACTTGTGATTAGACTAACAATATTCATCAAAATTATGATTATCATCTTTCAATTTATATTTTCTAGTAAGTATACTCTTGTTTTGCTTCTATTCATATTTTATTTATTCGTACATATCTGGTGGAGAAAAATAATTATGTTTTATCTATACATCTAAGGTAAAAAATAAAATTACCTTGCATCACTTAATTTCTCATACCGCCAAGCTTAAATAAGACGCAAAAAAATGAAAAGAAACGCATGAGCAGTCAAGTAATCATCATAAGTTGCTTTTTAACGAGATAGTTTTGCATGTTTCTCATGAATATTTTTTTTCATATTTGTTTTGTTGCAATAAAGAAGGAATGAGTGACAGACAACCTCTGTTAAACACAATCAATAAATTATCTATTGGTAGTGATGATGATGATAATAATGGAAACAAGAAACAACTTTTGACCAATAGGTATGATCTAATATATAATTAACTTCGAGAAAAATACAA